AAAATACCGCCGCCAGATAAGTGGATGGCAAAGCTGGGTTGAGGGAAAGTTCGGCCACACTGGCGACTGCGTGTCACTCACTAAAATCCTCGATGTAAAATAGAAACTCCGTCTTACATCGACCTTTTGTTCCTTGACATTCGAGTACAAATATTTCAGTGGTTTGCTTACCTTGCAATAAGTTATAGTACGTCCATTTACCCTTCACAGTCTCCACTCATCGACCTCGCTTCATCGTCTTGAGGGTTACTGTTAACGCATCCATAGTGTGTTCATATTCCATAGCTTTAAAGATTAAAATAATTAGTACTAACTCATCGCTATCAATCGTAATTTCCATACATATTTTCGTCAGAACACGAGATCAAATTTTGGTAAGAATTTTCTAAACCGTATACTATCAATGTAAAATTTAGAGTTTGATGCTACAAATTACAAAGACCAAATTTTAAATCATAAAACATTTTTCATGGTGTCGTAATCTGTGTCTGATCATGATCTAGGGCATTTAAAATAAAATTTTATTAAATTTCAAATTTTTAAACGGACAGATCATTTAATATTACTAAATCACTTTTTGCCATTTTAGAACCCCTTCCCCTCACTGATATTGTAACGTATGAACGCCACCTTTATACATTATGTATAATTATGTATAATTATGTATAATTATGTATAATTATAGCACTATATAAAACAAACCAGCGTAATAAAACATTAGTGCACATAAATAAACGTCAAACGTGAAATGGTGTTTGAATAAAGAGGGCCTTGTGATTTTAATAACAAAGGTTTGATGAAGTAATTACCAAGCACATGGACATGCGACAGGGACACGAAGATCAGAACAATGATCCAAGACACATTGTGCACTGCACATTGTGCACTGCACATTGTGCACTGCTGCATAGAAACAAGAATCTCTATGAATAGTGTATGGATTGAGAGTGGTCTGTGAATGGCAGGTTTATAGGGAAGATAGGGGCTCAGCATTTATCATATCGTAACTCTAAACTCCCGGATCAATATGCCGACTATTCTATTGTCAAAGAGGGTAATATGGGTATAATTATAAGCAGATCCTTGGTGGAATAATTTAGACTTGTCTATGCAATTTAATTTTTGCTTGTTTTAGGTTAGACTGCTAATAACCCCCAAAACCAAAGAGTTGAGGTAAACGGTACTAATACTATCAGGGACAGGCTACTACAATTCGCACATATTATATATTCTCTGTTTTGCCCAAACACTAATGCGACCAATAAGTTAATCACAAATGAGAAGGTCCCGATATTGACCCTGCACAGATGGTGAGCAGTAAAATACACGAGACCGATTTAGCTGGGCCGCATGTGCAGTGGCCGCCGCTGCATCAGCTGCCGTGCATCTTCACTTGCCAGACAATATAAATTTGATAATACTCCGATGATAGCTATCGATGATCTCGGTTATATACCACCCGAACGTGCAACTAATTAACTAGTATAGAGCCGCCTCAATAACCTCCACATACCAGGTAGTATAGCGAGTGTGCAGTATGTTCCGGTACATCACTTAACATGCTGGATACGAGGCTTACGACCGGCCTGCTTCACTGCTGCTACATTGTTGATAGTTATTGTTAACCCGCAGTTCAGGAGTTATGATTCTCCTCTCTCCAGGTCATTCGCTCAGAAGTTGGGGATTTACTCGATTTAGCGTGTGTACTTGTAGTTCATTAGAATATGCAACCAGGCCTTTAACTTTAAGTTGTGTTATCTTTGAGGGTGTAATTATTGTCAGGTGATGTTATAATTATGATTATCGTAATTTGTGGCACAATTACATTGTAGCACATGTCTCCTGATTACCATGATAAACGAGGCACCTGCAGGTGGATTAAATAATCACCACATTTATTGGCGCGTCTCCTTTTGAAAGCTGGTTCCTCTGCAGTCTACAGAACCATTGCTTAATAAGCACTCAAACCAGGAAATCTACTAGGAAATCCTAGCAGTATTGCTAATTGCTATCCTCAATTACCGGTTTTACTCACTACTCATCTAGACATACCAGTCTTTGTGGTTATCAGTGGTTATCTTACCGACGCTTTGTTTGCTGATCCCAGATATTGAGGATACCAGCTTTCGTAGACCTTACAGTGTCTAGTATATAGGTACCAGTTAGCACATGTAAAATAATAGAACCTACATACTTATCTCAACCCATTAAATGCAGTTCCCACATTATATCTCACACAATTGAATTGGACTACATTGAAGTTAACAACTAATATAAATACTGCAGCTCTCTCTCTCTCTCTCTCTCTCTCTCTCTCTCTCTCTCTCTCTCTCTCTCTCTCTCTCTCTCTCTCTCTCTCTCTCTCTCTCTCTCTCTCTCCCTCCCTCCCTCCCTCCCTCCCTCCCTCCCTCCCTCCCTCCCTCCCTCCCTCCCTCCCTCCCTCCCTCCCTCCCTCCCTCCCTCCCTCCCTCCCTCCCTCCCTCCCTCCCTCCCTCCCTCCCTCCCTCCCTCCCTCCCTCCCTCCCTCCCTCCCTCCCTCCCTCCCTCCCTCCCTCCCTCCCTCCCTCCCTCCCTCCCTCCCTCCCTCCCTCCCTCCCTCCCTCCCTCCCTCCCTCCCTCCCTCCCTCCCTCCCTCCCTCCCTCCCTCCCTCCCTCCCTCCCTCCCTCCCTCCCTCCCTCCCTCCCTCCCTCCCTCCCTCCCTCCCTCCCTCCCTCCCTCCCTCCCTCCCTCTCTCTCTCTCTCTCTCTCTGTCTCTCTCCCTCGGGACTCTCATCTCCGTCTATACGTACACATCTATTAACCTGCCACATCTGCCTGCAGGAAAAACACTTCGCCTTTCTCGTTTTATAGGCCGGTAATCGATCCTAGTGTGTGCAGCCTGGGGAGCTCACAGGTTCTAAGCAACATGTATTATTCTCACTAGGGAGGGAGAGCCATTCTGTATTGTTGTGGGCCCTGGCGTTTTGTTCTCCACTATTACATGGTGCTCTCAGCAGCTCTGTTGTGAACCAGAACCCTGTCCAGGACTCTTTGTTGGAAGGGAGAGGGCCATTTGGTGGTATTTAGAGGAATTGTAGCTAGTTTGAATGGCCAGGGTGTCACGTCGTGTTGTTAAAGTGGTGAGAGGTTGTATGGAGCTTTGTGCGGTAGACTCCTGCTGGGTTAACTTTCATGGGTTTTAGCCTCCCGTATTATTCGTATAAATTAGTTTTTAATTGCTAATTTGTTTTGACATAAATTATTGTACCGAACTTTACTAGTACAACTTTATTAGTAGAGACCACTATTGTAAACTTGGCATTCGCACACTTGGCATGCTAAGTTTTTATAACTTCCTGTCATAATCACACCTAGCATTCTGTTTAGCTCTCTGATTACCAATTAAAATAACCGCCTAATTAAGCATTAACTAACAAATTGCAGTTTGTCTGCGGTAATCGGTTTCCACTACAGCATCTGAATTGTTTACATAAGCCTAAATATTATTTAGGCTGATTTTATAATTTACAATAATAAATTAGCATAAAAAGAATCTGCGTTTTAGAGTAATCTGCACAGTGAAGGCTCCAGACGACTAGACGACTTATATTTATAAAATTTTATAAATAGAAGTAAATTTTATATAATATTTATTTATAGATTAAACTACAAGGCGGCCTAGGATAAAATCAATGTCGGTTTCCTGTGCTAGGTTTTGGTCATTGCTTAGACAGTCTGACTATAACCATTACCTGTCGATCTGTGCTATCTTCCGCAACTTGTATTTTAAGTTAAGTAAAGTAAAGTAAATCTATGACATCACATCATTACAAATCTTATCTCTACAAAGTATTATTACACTAGTACTTCCCCTCCAACAGAAAATTTGATAATTTATACAATTTCATTAATTTTACATGTTATCAAATAAATCATAATTTAAAAACCTATTCATACTTCCCAGTGAAAACCAAAGATAATCGTTATGATTCTTTTATTTTCTATATAATTGCTTTCTTCAATTCCATGAAGAATAAATACTCCTGATACTTGTATCGTCTTCAGCGGACTACAACATATAAGCTCGAATCTGGTTTGACTTTCAGAAAAGATTTTAATATAATAGTTAGCTTCGGAAAGACAAGCAGACGTAGTAATTCTAAACTCTTGATCATGTCCATATATAATCAAGAATTTATACGTAACGGAATTTCACGGCCACAATAAGATGCGTGAGGAAATGAAACAAACCGTGTTGTATACAAGCAAGTTATACGGAGGCGTTATAATAGACAAGCTAATTATATAGAGGCGTTAGGTTCGGTTGGGAGCCTCTAATCCACAAATTGCTCTAACGGAGGAGTCTGCCTTATGTGATAGAGCAGCAAATATAATGTGCTGAGAAACAATAAAATTTGATCTCGATTGATCTCACAACATTCCATTCACAAGTTTTTCTTTAACAAGTTTATTCCTTTTATAAATTTGTTCTTACTAAGTTATTTGCATGTTTGCGATTTTTCCAAGTTTTCTTATAATATTTTACATGGCAATTCTTAAAATATTATATCCTAACATCTAATTATTCAATTTAAGAACAATAATAATACATAGAGTTACTGTGATATCAAAATAATATAATATTATGCGGCCAGTATATTTCGTTTCGTGTTCTTTAAAAAATTCCATAATTATCGTATATCTTTAAGAAAACGACGGTCAGTTTAAGCTCTAGTGCTAGCGTCTAACGCACAAGACTTATTAATGGTATTTCTGCGTACTAATCCTCGTTCCAAGACACGTCAGGTGTTCCTGTCAGAAGTGAAACTGACAATGAGTTGTGTTAGTCACATCTCTTCCAGTGTAGTTGGACGCTTGTTAGTAGCATTATACCATAACGTAACGAGCTTATAACTCACTAATTCGATTTTGCCAATATTATGCGATAGAATCCAATCCAATCCAATACAGCATGGTCTCAGTCAAGCTGCGTAGATCACTGGTTTGATTAACCAAACGTAACCGAGTTAACATTTTCTTATTTATATACGCTTACTTAGTTTTTAGTGAAAGCTCGAGATCGTTCCTAAATAAAGAGAAGTCATCATGTCTAACGTGGTACTAGATTCTCTGAAGCCTCGGCCCTCGAGCAAGAATCTTATGACAACAGCAGAAGGGGAACAAATACATGTCACATGTACGTTCACTCCGCATGCATTTAACCGCTAGTGTTCCCTCATCATGCATTTAAACGCTAGTGGGTGCAGCCCAAAAATAACACTCTATTTAGACTTTTTGCTGACTGTGCTCCCTACGGTTTTAAATAAAGTTAATAGGCAATTGGGGCAACAGTGGTTTATTATGAGGGTTTATTTTTGGGCTTCCCAGTAGCTTTTCTAATTGTACTTCTGCTTGTACTTCAATTATGTGTATTATGCTGTTCTATATTTGGTGTAGTGTGTGTTCTGGGCATTATAACCTTCAGCCAGAAATGTTGACCAATGTCTTATTAAGCCCATCATTTATCTTTATCTGTATATATAGATCATCTCTACCCATATCTATGTATTATACTCGAGATTATGCGTTGCATAAATTGTGAATGACCACCAGATTGTTCAGATGCAATCACTTGAAATCTAAAGCTGTACGTTTCGTGAATTTCTTACGAATTAGGTGCGTGTGGGTCTTGAACCTTGGTTTTTGGGAGTTAGAGCGAATCAAATTAATATATTAAACCTGATCTTACCAAGAAACAAGAAAACCACAATGAAACTGCCAAGGGGATTGTAGATCCCAGCATCGCATGCAAACTTTAAAACACAATAATAGTATTTACTATAAAAAATTGACCACCCAATTAAGGGTTGTATTCACTTTGTTTTTCATGAATTTTACTGATTGCATTTTTATATGCTGGTTAAGTTGACGATCATTGTCAATCATTCACATTTGTGTTCACGTCAATGATAAAGCTAACTCCTATTTGTGATGATACGTTAATTCTATCTCGGTGAGGCTATATATCCATTTAATTATCAAGCCAAAAGTTTGATATCGCAAATAATGTGATTACCTTCTTGGCAAGAAAACCTGATTGGAAAAATAGAAAAATGGCTGACAACCCATATAAAGCTTCTGCATCACCCGCCCTGTCTAACTTTTACCAAAACGAAGCCAGTGGTAATGTCGGAGGTAAAGGCAAAAACTAGCAGTGCCTGCATAATTAAAGCTGCAAATATTTTGAGATTTTCGAGCTGCAAATTTTGATTCGAAAAGTAGAAAGGAGTTTCAATCGGGCGGCTAAAGAGATGAACTGGCTCGCTGGGCTGGTCATTGAGTCTGTTTAATCTTATTTATCATCAAATTATTATTAGCTGATCTTCAGTTTAACCCAATATAATCACAATTCTTTGATCATAAAATAGATCGTTACAAATTTAAAATCAACTGATTTTTCTACTTAATTTTATGGTTTATGTTTACATGTAACCAAAGCCCTTCACATATTGCGTTTGAAACGGTCAGGATTACTTAAAATCCGGCCTTTCACGTGGTATAAACGTGAGTTGTTAAAGCTGACGGTAAACCATTGCAGCTGCGTGTCCAAACATTGAAACACCTCGAGTATTTGTTACAACTGCCTCTGGTCACTGTAAGTGTAACAACGGCTACCACAACGGCTATAATGCTATCAGCAAATCCTTTCCAGAAACCTGTCGCTGCAAGATTTGCCTCTCAGATATGGCATTTTGCCAAACATATGGTGCTGATTCAATGAGATATTTGAAAAACACAATTGAATGAAGGATTAACATAAATTGCTGCTATATCTGCTGACTGAGAGGAACATGCTGTTCCGTGCAAGAATATTTTAGAACTGTTTACGTGATGTGTTTTAGAAGTGCTTGGGTATAAAATTAACTTTAATTATTGTAATTGTCAATGTCAACTGAGATGATATTATCACATTACTTAATACTTTATCTTTGTTCATGATAGACATGAAAAAGGTGTTGTAAATTCACTAATTGATTTTAATAACAATTTGAATAAGGCTGTAAAAATTGCTGTTGTAAAACGTCAAAAATGTTCTAAGTTCTTATGGGTGACATCGGACTCTTTAACGAGTTCAAATGTTGTCATGTTAAAATGCTGGCAAGCAATACTGCAGGAGTTTGACCACAAGTTTTAACTTTGGAAAGTTTTGCCCGACATGGAAAATTCAACTTGGGGTAAAATTTAAGGTGGTAACTGGTAAGCGGTAACAGGTAAATTGCCAATTATATTCTGGGTACAGCACGGTTGTAAAATGAAACAAAAATATTTGGTGTGAAGTCTAACTACATTATGTTTCAGCTGGTGATGCCCCAGCGGTTTTTAACTCAAACTCTGGCGGCCGATTCAATAACAACAGCAAGACAGAACAGAAACTTATAGAACACATCAAGAATAGAGATATGAGGGGCATTGAGAAGTCTATCGCTTATGGAGCCAGGTATTTATAAATTATATTGTTCATAATTTTATATTTTGTCTTGCACTGGGATCTTATAATGTACTGATTATTTTAGTTCCTTTATAGCACTTGAAGAAATTGTCCACCTCAGACCTCTGTCAATGATAGTTATAGGCGATGATATCAAACAATTTTGGATCCAAACGCTGCCAGAGAGATTTTTCTTTACTATGCATACCCTCAGTGTGAAGACGGCAGACTACAAATCAGACCCCCCAATAATGATAGCAATTGACTGTGGGTACAAGGACATCACCAAGTTGCTGCTGGAACACAAACAACTGAAAATCAACGAGAAGGCCCGGAGTGGCCACACACCCCTCAGTGAGTGTTTCCACTTCTCAAAACTACCACCGCTCTCATTATCCGGATACCGGCCCTTGAACAACTCTATATCACGTGATCCCAAGAGTCAAATGAGAACATTAAATTTATATTTACTCAGATAACTCAAAATAGTTACTATCTAGTGATTGCTATTACAGTCACCATGATAATAAGTGTAATGTTTCCAGGTTATGCCGCCATGACTGGCAAGACGGATATAGTGAAAGTTCTCATAAAAGAGAAGGCCGAAATAAACGGTTTGGATGGTCATGGAGAGACACCGTTAATCAAGGTAAGTTTCTTGGTTATCAGCATGTTTACTCCTTCTTTCTTGAGCATAATATTTACATACAAAAAGCAGTCAGAGTCAGAAAGAGTATATTTTAAATTGGAATTCTTGATATTTGATACAACGTTGTTTTCACGTTGTTTTCACGGCCTCTAGCGGTTGAACCCTTCAGTCTAGAGTATGTACTAACTGTCATCGATGAATGACTCTCTTGAACCGTTCTATACTAATAAACGGAAATCATTCGTCAAAGAGGGCCTCGAAACATTTCCAGTTAAAAGTATGTTAGGTTATAGGATTAGATGATAGTAACATGGGAACAGGTGGTTCATGGTTGAGAACTTCATACCTTTAAGTTTAGAGATTGAGAGTTTATTTTTAAATGTAACACCATAGAGTGTTGTAAGTTTTACCTCATGAACATGTGACTGTGCAAGTGAGTGTGAGTGTACCAGGATTAGAATACGTTATTGATATGATTCCGAGTTATCTATCAGAAATTAAGTTTTAAAAATTCATCGGAATATTTTCCTAATTCGAAATTAGGAATAGACGTGTAAAGTGACTTTACACTGTAAACTCAATGTGAACGTAATTGAATGTAATATTAAGTTTAAGAGCAAGTTATAACCAATTTTTTCCTCTAGTATCATTCAGAATATTTTGTTAACCTTTAACTAAGAATATATTTTTGAAATAATGTGAAACTTATCGGTAGGTATTGACAGCAAGTTAGAGCAGAGCCGTTAAATCTGGAATTGCACTCGTAGGCCAAGGCCAAGGCTTCTGAGTAGTAAGGATTTATACAGTAGTGCATGCTCTACTTTACGACACGTTAGTCGTTAATACTGAACGTACAATTACAAATCGGTATAATTACCATTAAGCTTTTCAGGATTTTAATTGTTCGTAATTATAATAATTTAATTATAATAAATCGTAAGCTTTAAAATGAAAATAAATATATAAAGATAGTTATTATCTTACAATTTAAAAAGTTCTTAATAAGAACTTGCAGAAGCCCGTTGGTGGCTCCAAGTCCCACTCTGAGTCCCACTTCTTCGAATGTCTTGAATTACTTTATCAATCTCATGAGATGCTTTATTATCAAACAATACGTAATCAATCTTGTATGTTGAGTTTTAACTCACTCTCTATACATATCCGCTCTGTGGTATCTATTGTGCTCGTCTCTGAACACATATCTGCTTTATTGATAACAAGAATATCCCCAAAATTGGTAGTTATTGAAGACATCTTTGTCCCTCGCTGACATTTCTTCTTCTGTCCATTCTTGGCAGTTTCTTTTGGTTGTTTTCGTCCAGGAAAACACACGAATCATCTTTTCGAAACAGTGACGAGAAACGTGCTTTTCTCTTCTATTTCTGCCCGGGAGGCAATACTAGTACAACTTCCTTAATAAGGATAATTAAATTATAAATAATAATAATAATAAAGACTTTGTGATATACAATTGTTGCAGTTGTTGTTAGTTTTCTCTTGTTTTCCTTCTCTTGCTCTGCAAGCCCTGTTTCTTGTTTAATACGGCATATAATTATCGTGTATCGTATTGTAGAATGTAATAAACATTGGTAATAGAGTAAGATTATTGGAAATTCTTTTTGCTAGGTTTATAATATTTAATTGTATAATTTGCAATGGTTTCTCCCGCTTTTCTTCCCTTGCACAACAAGCCCTGTCTCTTATAAATACAACTCTTGTAAATACAACCTTGAAAGATTTGTAGATACACATAGTTTCTACACCTTTATCATCTGGTCCCTAGGGTCAGCTGATCCCGGGCCAGAGGAAAACTACCGAATGCCAAGGTTTGACGCCTAGGCAGTCGAGACCACTTATTAAGACCCATTATAATACAAAGAATACGATATAAATGATGACTGTATTATAATTTTATAATAAGCACTTCTGACAGGTTCGGAGGCCTCAGACCTCTGTCGTTAAGCCTCTGACTTGCCCCCGACTGTCGTCGGCATCAGCGCATTTGAAAATGTCTGATCGATATCAGAGTTCGTTTGATGTTTTAAAAAAATGCTGATTTGTCAGTGGAACTCGCAGTTGAAAATTAGTTGACTCGAAACAGTGTGAGCATGTTTGACTTTGTCGATTGTCTTGCGTGGTTAAACTAGATGCAACGTTCAACGTATGATTAGAAGGTGGCACAGGAGAACATATATATTGTTATTGAAATTTAAGTAATTTTTAAGCAAATAAGTAGTTATGTTGCGAATTATTTTGCATCATGTCAACTTCATTGTGTAACGAAGCTGGCTGTACATTTTGAAAATTTTGTGTTGGCCTAACTTGGTTATTCAAATTGTTATTTCCACTGATGCCAAAAATTGACATCGGCAAAAGCTGCCGATGAAAATAAAGCTAAAGCAGCCTGCCTAAATAATGAGATATAATATTGATCAGATTACCCGTTTAGTGGTAGCTGTACCTAAGAGAAAAATTTCAGAATCAAGATTAATTTTAGATTTAAATATGTACAGGTTCAAGGGTTAGCAAGTTGTGGTAATCAGAAGCCGTAAAACAGCAAAGTGATTACCACACGTGTTTTGTGCCGGCCATCCCTGGGCCTGCAGTTAGATTTCTATCGATGCACTGGCATCAATAGGAAACTAATGGCCAGCAGTTCTGATAATATGATTTTTTATTGTTGAAATATGTGAAATTCTAATAACGCAAATTTCGTTTAACACTAAATAGCTTTAATCGCGAATGCAGTTATGATCAAAAGAAAACTAAGAAAATTAGAAAAAAAGATTTTATATACAGAAATAATAAAAAAATGTTAGCTAAACTGATATTATGTTAACTTACTCTCAGAATTAGTTCTTTGATTTAAATGATTGTTAATGTTTTGAGGAGGGAGGAGAATGATGGACAATTCATGGACAAAAAGAGACTGAGAGTAGAATTTTAGATGAGTTTTATTATTGTTGATATATTAATGTTGATATATTAATAGTTGATATATTTTTAAAATGGTTGACTGTACACATTTACCAATTTCCAGATTGTCAATATTAAAAGAAAGAAAAGTTCGAAAAGGAAGTACAGCCAATTATTTATGTTTACTAGAAACTTAAATTTAAAAAATAATCTTTGACTATGAGCTCTAGAGATATGTTTTCATAAATAGAAAAAATGTGTTAAGACTAAATTTTTATTGCATTGTAAAATACATGTTGTAACGATTCATTTGATAATTTTATTCTTCAAGCACGAAACATCCAAAACATAAATAAAATTATCTTAAAAAAGGGAGGTATGTTAGGTTATAGGATTAGATGATAGTAACATGGGAACAGGTGGTTCATCAATTGTGACCGGTCAATCGTGACCTGTAAACATTGCCGTTCTAAAATATGGGTGCAGAATATTCGAGAATTTTACGATTGGTCCAACAATAGGTGGGGCAGCCGTCCATTGGTTGTAAGTCATGTGACCTAGGCCACATGACCATAGCAGGTGGACTAAGCCTCATTTAACCCCGGTCAGCTCGAGCACTAACTTTAGTGTGACGTTAAAATAGTTAATAAGACCTGCAAGGTAGGTAATATAAATACATATGTTTTGTGTTGTAAAAGTTAGTTTTTAGTTTTTATTTTAAACCACTTCTCCTAAACTGTTGTTTTCCGTTGTTCCCAAAACTACAAGAGAAGGACCCGTTAACAAGTACATGAAAACTATTTAGTGTATAGTCTTAAACTCAAAGAGGCCGCGTAACTATTCACTGTAACACTGTATTTCTACATATATTTCTGAAGAACTCAAGAATGTGTCACATGTTGGCAGAGTTCCATATGCCCCATTATATAATTAAATGGAGTCTTTATGTAATTGTGTATTGCATGAAATTATGATGGAACGCTTCCCTCCCATATACTTTAAGGCTACAATTCATACTCTAACTCCACTTCCAGGCAGTGACGTATGGTTGTCTTAATGCAGCTGAGATGCTGCTTAACAAAGGGGCTGACACGAACATGCAGAGTGCATCAGGTAAATATATGCAAATCTAATCTGTTCTCGTTCCAAATTCTACAGAATCGTTAAGAATGCACATAAAGTTAGAATGCACATAGAGTTAGAGTGTGCACACTAAACCCCTGGAATTAGAAGCAACTTCCTAATGACCATATTCCAACCAGGGTTCAGTCCACTGCACATAGCAGTAGCCAAGAACAACGTTAACATGGTAAAGCTGCTGCTGAAACAGAAGAACCTGAAGCTGGAGGCAGAGAACAAGAACAAGCACACAGCCCTCCAGATGCTGGACCAACATCCCAATGCAGACATCCAACACTTACTCTCCACGGACAGCAGGTGTCTGAAATGATGGAACAAAACACTGAAGACCACCAGCCATATTTACAGATGGGGTAGCCCGGATAGACCTAACAAACTAACGAACTAAAAGCGAATCACTCTAGTGTCGACGTAAACTTGAAGGAATTGAAGTGAACTTGAAGTATTATTGGAGTGAACTTGAAGTGTTACTGAACATAGTGCTATGGAATTGTCTTGTTTTTACTGTTCTTGTCACATTAACCACTGCGGATTCGCAAGATTTGGGCTCATGACTGTAATTGACCAATTAATCAATTAAATTAGATTTTAATCTGAAAGATAAGATGAAGGAATAGGATGATCTAAAGGCGACAAGGAGATGGCCAAACTGCTCACTGCATTTTAGAAAAATGGGTCGTTGAAAAAAAATGCAATATTTTATTACTCGATTTTTTGGTAATTTTCAAGCAGCCGATGCTTTGAAAGACATGTTAAGCTGTTGAATAGAACATTTTAAGATATTTAAAACAGAGCAGATATTTGAATAACATATTTATTGGCGTGTCAAGATGCACTTTTTAAAGTATCTGCAAGGTTAGTTTTGTTCTTGACGTTATCAAGTTTGCCGAAAATTTTACTGTAGAAATTGCCAAATACTAACTATTACCACTTTTTTTGTTATTGATTTCTTTAAAATTTGCCTCGTTTTATATTTAAAATTGCATGAGTTTTGAGAATATCAATTGATATTGAATTTTATTCAGATATAAAGGACATGGTGATCTTGCAATTTGTAATTTGTAGAGTCAAAAATGTATGGCAGCTAATAAACTGTTTTATTTCAAAACCGAACACGATTAATGACAAACAATTTTAAAAGAAATAAGTTAGATTATAAATTAAGGAGCAACCTTCGATCTTCTTGCAAGATTACCAGAATGCTTCAATTCACCAGATCTTTCTCTACAAGTACTGATCCATAGATTCTCCAGTTATATCTTCTATTGTCTTCACTATCTGGTGAGTTATCTCCTCGACTGTCGGATCAGAATCTTCCAGAAGTTCGGCGATGAAGGGCAGCGAGTCTGGCAGAAGGACACCGTAGTCCTGTCCCAGCTTTATGATGAACTCTTTGTAGATTGAAACAACATTTTGTCGTACCTTAAAGTTAAAATCAATTATTTGGAATGTCTTCTGTTCATCTCCCGAATTCTTCAGAATCTTCAGTGCAAATCAAGCTAAATTCAAAGAACAATGCACACGTACAAAACTTATTGTTACAGCCAATTAAAATGTCTAAAACACAAAACACATACCGTTGGCAGCAGAGACTTGGACTGGTTGAGTATTTGAAAGTTGAACTGTTTCCAGAGCCTATCAGAGTTAGCAGCGATGGGGAGGTGAGCTAGTGCGGGTGTGAGGTGGGTGATATCTGGCAGGGTGATCAGATCGAGCAGGACTGGTAACAGAGTGTCAAACCTGCGGTACATTGTTAACATTATCAGTGTGTTAGTGTCAAAGCGGGACGAAATGTAGTGGGCTCAATACAATAACCACAGTATCTGTAATGTTCCGGGAGAAAGGATAGGTATTTTAACGTACTTTTAAAAGTGGGGGCGTATTTTACGTAAAATAGTTTGAGAAAGTAATGACGGATATAAGCCGATTAAAGTGAAAATGCTAATTGCTTATGAACGTACTGGAAGTTACGATCACAATTCCTATTATGCACTGCACGTGCATGTAATAATATTGATATAATATAGAGGGTGAAAACATAAAGTTTTGATATTAACGATAACAGCTCATAATGTACTGACGTTATACTTCTTGTGCTAGCCGTTTTTGCCGTATTTTTCACGTATTTTGAATACGATGGTTGTTGGCGTATTATATGCGCATTTTTAAAGAAATTACATTCATGGCAGACGTGGGCGCCGCCGCCGGTACGCCGCCGCCGCCGATAAATTCGACACGCCGCCGCCGCTGATAAATTTCGATCGGCGCGCCGAATGTCAAATTTTTGCCTAAACAGTTAAAAAAATGAATGACACGCGACGCGAAAGAATTTGAAACTACATTTCGTAACATCAGTTGTGCCGTTATCGTAGCCAAATATTTGCTTGTTGCTGAACAGAGTATAAATAGTTGCTCTTTCAAATCGTCATTCAATTTTGAAATGAACCTTAGCATACAAAGTGTACATTAGCTTATAAGATGTCAGTCAGTGGTACAATGACTATGTTGCCAAAAAATTGGTTCCAGCCGCCGATACGCCGCCGCCGCCGAGTGAAATACGGCCTCACGCCGCCGCTGCAGCATTTTCGGCGGCGCCCACGTCTGATTCATGGACGTTCTCATTACTATGATAAAAAACCCAGGCCATAATATAAAATATCAGGATAACCAATAAATTGGTAATCGACCCCAACACCTAGCTATGAACATCGTTACAACACTATTAACAATTAACATGACCATGCAATTAACATTGCAATGCAATTAGCATATCAATTAAAAGCCGCGCAATGTGCGTGTCTTCATCGTATAATGCACGTATTTCTATTGTTCTATAATAAGTGTAAAGAACAGTGTTAGTGGTGTAAGCAGTAAGTGGTCCAAACAAGTTCACCTGTCAGCAGTTATGAAGCCATGAGCAGTGTCATATCTCAGCATGTTGTAAAGGGTTTTTAGTGTGTACATAGCCAGATCAGATCCAGAGGATAACTTGACTTTCTTGCTTGTAAACTCTGCGGGAAAAAAGGTGATACAATTACGAAAATATAGTAGTAGCTATAGTAAATTGGTAGCTCGCTCGTTAAATTCAACTCTAAATGATGAAGGGGGATAAAGTACGGGAAAATCCAATTTGTTGTGCACTTGATATAAAATTAGAGACACTTGATATAGGTAAATTACGAGACACTTGATATAAATAAAGAGACACTTGATATAAATAAAGAATCGTATGTATACACCGCATGAAATGACTGCAGTAATGAGCTTGTGCGAAATCTGGCAGTTTCGATACCCTGTTAAACTTAGGGACTCCGGAGGTCTGTTGTACTTCTCTCCTATTTTTAGTGTTTGCATTGTATAAGTGTATATATTTTGAGTGTATATATTGAGCCCTTGGGTGTAGCTATGTGGAGTCTTTCAGCTCCTTTTTAGACCAGTATTAATAGAACAACAACTTTTTAATGAAAATCTAGGAAATTCGGCTTTTTAAAATTTAACGTGGACAGTAAATAGGCACGGGCTTTGATGACACGTTTATCCCTAATCGGTGCAATATGTACAGTACATGCAATAGTACACAAGTTTTAGAATTAGGTGTTAGGGTACATGATAATTAAGTAATTATTATCATTACCATTTACCTTCCCTGTACATCTGTCTGGATATTTGATATGTGCTTTACACCCTTACTTAGTGTGAAACTGACAATTGAGTTACAATATTACTGTTTATGCCAGCAGAATCCTTACGTAATGATATCATCGCGATTATCTGGAATCACTTAGAACATAGCCTGACTAATCTCGGTTCTCTGCTGATACGTGTCCAATTGTTTTGTCGTCACTTTCATGTATTCTTGTGGCCGTCCATAAAATACACCCTGAGATGCGGGTCGGTAAAAGTGGCTAGGTGTTGAAATCAGGGCCTGTCAAATGTATACATTTTTAGGAAGGGGGTCCACATTCCACAAATATTCCAATCGTCTTAATGGTCTCTGTACTCAAGATTAGCTGCAATTCAATTTATTTCCCAGATATAATTCCATGATTGGATTAGAAATCGTTTATTTTACGTGATCTCACGTATGTTACTACGTGCCTTTGAAATATAATCCGAGATTAATATCTCACTTTGATCAATATTCACTTATATATCTTCAAAGTTCAGAAGGGGGTTCATATCCTTTATGTTGTTTGCATCGAGCAAGTTCGTCGAAGTTCATGAATCAGTACAGAGGTCATAGCTTATATCAATCATGGAGAACAAAGTCACCAAAATTAAAGCGGAGTATCGGATCAGAAAAATAGAAGTTCAAGGTTTGCACTCTGTGTGTTACGTTAAATGCTTGCTTGTCAATTCATTAAATTCATTGTTTGTTAGATTTCCATTTTTCCAAATTGCCGAGAAAATGATTTACGCGTACGGGATGATCATAACGCATAAATATGTGCAGGTGTAAAAGTAATTGACAGTATCATAATTACATACGATGATGACAGCGTGTGGTCCTATGGTCTAGGAGGGGGGAAATCTCGCGGAAAGACAATCGTTTTCTCCGAAAATGAATATTTGGTATGCAAATTTTATTTTACTGTTTTATTTCTATGGGCTCTCATAATTAATATTCCGGTTAAAGAATACAGAATATAATTTCTGATTGACCTATTGAAATTTTCCGCTAGCAACACATAGTATTCGACAGTATTGAGCAACTTAATTTGATGTGTTGCGGACACTTTCTAAAACAGAACTACATCCAAATCAGGCACGAGTAACACACGAAACACTGGAGAACAGGAGATGGGCAGGAGCAGCACTAGAACTGGAGACCAGCCGAGGCAGGACCTTCTCCTTCGAGCCTGTGTGCTCGAGAACACCCAAACACAAACGGACCACAATAACAGCTGATGATGGGATGGAGATACTTTCGTTGAAGATAAAGTCTGGCAAGTTAATCGGGTTTGAGCAGCAGCCTTGTGGTGAGGAGAGTACGGCTGATAAAGATTGGTTTAATGTGATCTATCTGGGTACTAAGGAGGAGGATGTGGAAATTAAAGAGTTCTCGGACCGACAAGAAGCAGCAAACTGGTGGAAGGAGATCATTGCCAGGTGTAGTATGAAGGCAGGGCGCGGGGCGCTGTATCTTGATACCAAACAGAACGTTATCCTTAACAAGACCGGATCTGCTAATATGACAGCCCACCTGATCTCAGTAGCCGAGGAAAGGGGGATATACCTCAACATGAAGGAGCACACTACCAAACTATCAATACCAGCTGTCCTCTCAGCAGTCTCTAAAGCTCTCCTAACCAAACGAGACACGATTAGAATGATTGTTGTAACCGTGATGGTCATATGCAGCAAAGTTCTGGAATTAGAGATTTTAAACTTAACTGGGAATATCATCTCAACTTTGTCCGACAACACTACAGTTATCAACCAGAATATCTATGCTAACACTCTCTGTCGAACCTTTTTGGAGTGTAATCAGGACAGCAGGTTCGATTATATCAAGTCAATGTTGGTTAGTTTTGTGTTGATGGTACTGTTAGAGCGGTTAGTGTACCTTGGAAATGTTTATATTCACATTCGCGGACTGTACGGAATTATGGGAGCTTTGAGGACGAAATCTCTGGAGAAAGCGCTGTTCTTGCACCAAGGATATCATGACTCTCACACTCTAGCTGATCTGAATAATAATAGCAACATTCATTCTGTCTCCCGTTTGATAAGTTGGAATTTCCCCTACGCTTTGGCCCATCTTCTGGGAATATTTGCGAGTGGAGTCTACATGGTGAAAAAGAACCTTCAAATCGGAGGAGCTGTAGTTTTATTCACAATACTTTTTAACATTCTCTATCTTATGCCAGGAAAGAGGGAGGCGATGAGGTTACAGCGTTGTCGGACTAAACTAGCTTCTTCTGCAGAGGATCTTATTAACGAGGCTCTGGACATGGTATCGACTGTAAAGCAATTCTCCCAAGAGAAACTTCACATCAAGGAACAGAAAGTGGCAGAAAGTAGCTGGATTTCATGTGAACTGAAGCTTGTGCTCAATAGAATCCAGAATGAATTTGTTGAACATGCTTTTAAATATCTTTTGTTAGCTTTAATGATTGCTTACGAAGCAACAGCCGTGGAATCTGTTTTTAGGCCCGGAGAGTTCATGATATTTTACATCTTGTTTGATAGGTTTCAACATCAGTTTACGTGTCTAAACTCTCAAATAGAGCTTTTTGAAGAAGACTTATCAAAGGTAGAAAATTATGTGGAGTTCATGTCAACACCTTCTGAGGTGGTTTCCGGCAAAGATACAGTAGGTTCACTGGAGGAGGATATACAGTTTGAAAATGTTAACTTTGGGTACCCCACCCGGATCGGTGAGAAAGTTTTTTCAGGGTTAAACCTGAAAATCCAGCGCAAGAAGATGACAGCAATCGTGGGTGATTCTGGCAGTGGTAAGACAACGATTGCCAAGCTATTAATGAGACTATACGACCCACAACAAGGCAAGGTAACTATTGGTGGCAAGGATATCAGGAACTTTAATTTGGCAGAGCTGCATGGGAAGATGGCGATTGTGAGTCAGAACCCCAACCTTATGAGCACCACCCTAATGGATAACATCTCCTACGGTGCAGTATTTCCAGATCAAGTCACCAATAGCAGAATTAAAAACGCGGCTGAGTTAGCAAATTGTGATTTTATTAACAAGTTTCGTAGTGGAATGGAGACGTTTGCAGGAGCACGTGGTTTACAGCTTTCAGGAGGACAAAAACAGAGGATAGCCATAGCCAGAGCAGCGATGAGAGATCCAGAGATCTTGATATTGGACGAGGCAACCTCAGCCCTGGATGCACAGAACGAGAGAGATGTCCAGGAAGCACTGGATAAGTTAATGGCAGGGAAAACAACCATAGTGATAGCCCACAGACTGAGCACAATACGGCACGCAGATGAGATTATCTGTTTAAAGGATGGGGAGGTAAAGGAGAGAGGTACACATGATGAGCTGATGGGGTTGAGGAACTACTATGCTAACTTAGTGTCCAAGCAGCTGGTGGAGGATACTTGTAAGATTATGAAGCAAAATACCAGGTCAGAGGTGGACATGATACGGTTAATGAGAAGGGCATCAGAGACATTTATAAGACAGTCTAGTCAGCTGAAAAACGGTCGGCCTATCGATGAGGTGAGAGTTGACAGAGGGCAGTCGTTGCAAAATAATGAAATTGCCGATCCCTTGATAGGAAATTTTGAGTTGGATGAGAATAACTTTGGCCCAAGTGGAGAATAATATTAAGATAATCAAGTTTAGTTAATATTAATATAATTTATAGTGATGTTATAATTTGTAGTAGCTGTTGATTTATTGCTGTTGAGTGTTGAGCTACAGGTGATAATTGTTATTGATGGGATTATTTTCATGTTAGACTTCATAAATTATTATTTTAGTTTTAGTAGCAATAAGCAAAGATTTCGTAATTGTATTATTAACGAAAAATGCAGAGAATGTTCAAATGCTTAATCTTACCTTCGGTTTGAACAGGAGGTTTGCATTGTTGAAGCTTTTCCACAAGATTGAGGTAGATCGAACCACTAAACAATAAAAACAGTCCCTGTCAATAATACGTTATTAAAGTACATGCAGTATTACTATGTTATTACTATACAGTAGGTCAAAAAGGTATGAATCCTCATTCCTCGTCCTATCATGTATTATAATAACACAAGGATTCCATACATTCAAAGTATTACGAAAAAATGCCTGTCATATTAAGAAGTCGAAAGATAGTTAAGACAAATTCCCGGGATAACAGCAATTTAATAGTGTACGGTGTAATGGAGGAGAGTTGACCGACCTGAAGTTTATCTGAGAGATGAGCAGAAAGGTTGTAGAAAGTAATGCTCCTCTCCAGAGACCCGTTAGACCACTCGAGTAATCTCACTAGCAGAGGAAGGAACTCCTTCTCAGTTAGCTTGTACACCAGCCCAACAAAACATGATATTACCTCGTCCTCCGTTTCTTGAGTGAAGCTGAAAGGGGGGCGTCATTAAAGATATACATCTTTTTAAAAAACGATTATGAATATTTTTTTCGGTAAAATGTTTGATCATGTTTAAGAAGGGGGTGTGTTTTAACAACTACTCTCACTCCCCCTAACTGACCTGGTGGTTGTATCTCTGTAGGATAGTAACTACTCTCACTCCCCCTAACTGACCTGGTGGTTGTATCCCTGTAGGATAGTAACTACTCTCACTCCCCCTAACTAACCTGGTGGTTGTATCCCTGTAGGATAGCAACTACTCTCACTCCCCCTAACTAACCTGGTGGTTGTATCTCTGTAGGATAGTAACTACTCTCACTCCCCCTTACTGACCTGGTGGTTGTATCTCTGTAGGATAGTAACTACTCTCACTCCCCCTAACTAACCTGGTGGTTGTATCTCTGTAGGATAGTAACTACTCTCACTCCCCCTTACTGACCTGGTGGTAGTATCTCTGTAGGATAGTAACTACTCTCACTCCCCCTAACTAACCTGGTGGTTGTATCTCTGTAGGATAGCAACTACTCTCACTCCCCCTAACTAACCTGGTGGTTGTATCTCTGTAGGATAGTAACTACTCTCACTCCCCCTTACTGACCTGGTGGTTGTATCCCTGTAGGATAGCAACTACTCTCACTCCCCCTAACTGACCTGGTGGTTGTATCTCTGTAGGATAGCAACTACTCTCACTCCCCCTAACTAACCTGGTGGTTGTATCCCTGTAGGATAGTAGCTACTCTCACTCACCCTAACTAACCTGGTGGTTGTATCCCTGTAGGATAGCAACTACTCTCACTCCCCCTAACTAACCTGGTGGTTGTATCTCTGTAGGATAGTAACTACTCTCACTCCCCCTTACTGACCTGGTGGTTGTATCCCTGTAGGATAGTAACTACTCTCACTCCCCCTAACTAACCTGGTGGTTGTATCTCTGTAGGATAGTAACTACTCTCACTCCCCCTTACTGACCTGGTGGTTGTATCTCTGTAGGATAGCAACTACTCTCACTCCCCCTAACTGACCTGGTGGTTGTATCTCTGTAGGATAGCAACTACTCTCACTCCCCCTAACTAACCTGGTGGTTGTATCCCTGTAGGATAGTAGCTACTCTCACTCACCCTAACTAACCTGGTGGTTGTATCCCTGTAGGATAGCAACTACTCTCACTCCCCCTAACTAACCTGGTGGTTGTATCTCTGTAGGATAGTAACTACTCTCACTCCCCCTTACTGACCTGGTGGTTGTATCTCTGTAGGATAGTAACTACTCTCACTCCCCCTAACTAACCTGGTGGTTGTATCTCTGTAGGATAGCAACTACTCTCACTCCCCCTAACTAACCTGGTGGTTGTATCTCTGTAGGATAGTAACTACTCTCACTCCCCCTTACTGACCTGGTGGTTGTATCCCTGTAGGATAGTAACTACTCTCACTCCCCCTAACTAACCTGGTGGTTGTATCTCTGTAGGATAGTAACTACTCTCACTCCCCCTTACTGACCTGGTGGTTGTATCTCTGTAGGATAGCAACTACTCTCACTCCCCCTAACTGACCTGGTGGTTGTATCTCTGTAGGATAGCAACTACTCTCACTCCCCCTAACTAACCTGGTGGTTGTATCCCTGTAGGATAGTAGCTACTCTCACTCACCCTAACTAACCTGGTGGTTGTATCCCTGTAGGATAGCAACTACTCTCACTCCCCCTAACTAACCTGGTGGTTGTATCTCTGTAGGATAGTAACTACTCTCACTCCCCCTTACTGACCTGGTGGTTGTATCTCTGTAGGATAGTAACTACTCTCACTCCCCCTAACTAACCTGGTGGTTGTATCTCTGTAGGATAGCAACTACTCTCACTCCCCCTAACTAACCTGGTGGTTGTATCTCTGTAGGATAGTAACTACTCTCACTCCCCCTTACTGACCTGGTGGTTGTATCCCTGTAGGATAGCAACTACTCTTACTCCCCCTAACTGACCTGGTGGTTGTATCTCTGTAGGATAGCAACTACTCTCACTCCCCCTAACTAACCTGGTGGTTGTATCCCTGTAGGATAGTAGCTACTCTCACTCACCCTAACTAACCTGGTGGTTGTATCCCTGTAGGATAGCAACTACTCTCACTCCCCCTAACTAACCTGGTGGTTGTATCTCTGTAGGATAGTAACTACTCTCACTCCCCCTTACTGACCTGGTGGTTGTATCCCTGTAGGATAGTAACTACTCTCAATCCCCCTAACTAACCTGGTGGTTGTATCCCTGTAGGATAGTAACTACTCTCACTCACCCTAACTGACCTGGTGGTTGTATCTCTGTAGGATAGTAACTACTCTCACTCACCCTAACTGACCTGGTGGTTGTATCCCTGTAGGATAGCAACTACTCTCACTCCCCCTAACTAACCTGGTGGTTGTATCTCTGTAGGATAGTAACTACTCTCACTCCCCCTAACTAACCTGGTGGTTGTATCCCTGTAGGATAGCAACTACTCTCACTCCCCCTAACTAACCTGGTGGTTGTATCCCTGTAGGATAGCAACTACTCTCACTCCCCCTAACTAACCTGGTGGTTGTATCTCTGTAGGATAGTAACTACTCTCACTCCCCCTTACTGACCTGGTGGTTGTATCCCTGTAGGATAGCAACTACTCTCACTCCCCCTAACTAACCTGGTGGTTGTATCCCTGTAGGATAGTAACTACTCTCACTCACCCTAACTGACCTGGTGGTTGTATCTCTGTAGGATAGCAACTACTCTCACTCCCCCTAACTAACCTGGTGGTTGTATCTCTGTAGGATAGTAACTACTCTCACTCCCCCTTACTGACCTGGTGGTTGTATCTCTGTAGGACAGTAACTACTCTCACTCCCCCTAACTAACCTGGTGGTTGTATCTCTGTAGGATAGTAACTACTCTCACTCCCCCTAACTGACCTGGTGGTTGTATCCCTGTAGGATAGTAACTACTCTCACTCCCCCTAACTGACCTGGTGGTTGTATCCCTGTAGGATAGTAACTTCACGAAGATGGTGTTGATATCAGTAACTTGGTTCTTGATGTCATGAGTCACGTTCTGCTCAATACACTTCCTCAGCGTGTCCGTTACTGCGCGCAGGTCTGAAGTTGATGTTACAGACAATTAAAATTAAATATGTTTTAGTGCGCCCCTTTGATCATACGTAGTAATTGATAATTTCTTTTGGCGTTTCAATTTCGATAAGCATTGAGTAGCCTAATCTGGTAACCTATACAATTAGTTTTGACATCCACTATGCTTATAGGCTATGTTTATAAGCTTCATACTTATGTTTAATCCAATTCCACAGTTATATTACGTGGATGTAGGAGATAAATGGGCAATCAAATTATTAAAGCCCGCCTTTTTTGCCATGACAAGGCCCAAATGGGTGGAGAGCCAACAAATATCATTATTGATGATAATTAATTAATAATTAACCATTTAAACAGTCTATGCTAATTCGCTGGCCTAGTATAGCTATAAACTAATAGTAATGAATATAACAAGGTTTTGTATCCTTCTCGAATGATAATATTTTTCTCTTTTGATAATAATATAATGATAAATATTTCATATATTGTTGGGATTGTTTTATCATTTCAACATAATATATTCACCATGAGCAGATGAGTCGAGTAGTGTGTCGATTGCGTTTATCACAGCAGGAAGAAGGACCCTTAACTTAATTCCACCCCCAATTTCAGCACTCAGTTTTGATAAATTATCACTGTAAACCTGAAATAATAAACAGTGACTTTAAAAATTCAGGCAAAAATCAAATCCCAAAATTCGCGAACATCATTGTTTCAAACATATAAACAACCAAAGCTGGAACACTGTCCGAGTAATATTTACGATAAACTCACCTTGGACATAGCGACAAGAATGTCGGATATGTAAGCAGAGGTGAACTGAGGAACAGTTGAAATGACGGCCGACAAAACCGCACTGTTATCCTGTAGATTCCCAATAGAGATCTTCACAAGATCCGGCAAATGCGCGACACACCGGACACTCAGCACTTCCAAACACGTGCAAATACATTTCCGGAGCTCATCACTTGGGTTGTTGCCAAGATGAGTCGCAGCTGCGCCGAGCACTTTAACAAACTCTTCAGGGTACTTGGAACCTGTAAGGATACTTCAGTTGGTTTCAGTTGATAAATTCTTTTGGATGACATTTTTGGGTCTCTACGTGACATATTAGTCTATTAAAATGTGAATTTTCAAGCCGCACGTGAGTAAGTCGACCTTCAAAAGTTAACCGACCATATGCATATACCGACTATCTACCATGTGCATCTGTAAACGTTACCAGGAGCACGGTAATCATCCCAACCAAATTTCCGACTCGCTAGAATCTAAATCAGTTCGCATTTAACATAATTTGAATTGGGTTTTGTTTTTTCTACACGAATCAATAGACAATAAGCGGATAATCGCGGTTTCATTTGAAATAAAATGTGTTTGATCGTGCAATTTTACCCGATTTCTTAACGATCTCAACAGCCATGTGTCATGTTCTACCCACGACCTTAATAAAGATCGATGACTTCATATTGATGGACGCTCTTGTAGAATTACAGCCTAATCACGAATCAGATTGAGCAGCTGGCAGCACTCCATGAATTCCAATAAGATAAAATCATTAACAGTAATTTTTGCTTAAATTATCAAATAGAGATTATAGAGATCATAGAGATTAGGACCGGGTAAGCATGCACGTTCGAACCGTTAGAGTATGCGATTATTAAATTGTGCCGTGAAGCGTCGGCTGGCACCGTACGCTGACATGTGACAACTGCAGCTGGCCGTTTTACTTGGTTAATGTCTTAGAATCCGGGTCCTGTCTCGACTAGGATCTGCATTTTACAAAATAGGTAAAAGTTTATATAAGTCGTTTATTTGGATCTTCTTTTCGCAGGTGGTCAGTATTTATCAGTAATTACCTACTCTGCAGAGGGGACGGTTTTTAATGCGTTCGACCTCGTCACACAATCAGGTGCTTTTCTTACATTGTTGTGACCACCAGGGACCGGTGAACGTCGACTAAGCACCCAAAGTTTCCCGGTCCCACACATTTGTTATTCTGAGGGTAGGAGCCACGGGAAATCATGACTACTTGACTAGACTAGTAAATAAGTTTCACTCGCATCCATTGCTCTTAATTGTAAACTACCATCTGAGTACTACTCAAAGTAGCATCGCGTCTGATTGTCTGAATTACTTTGAATTGGATGTCTTCCGAACCTGTGATATCAGAGATATGGATCCACTTTGTGAAACACTGCCGTATAATCTGTGTTGGCCTGGTTGTGCTAATTGTTACATTTATGGCGTTTAAGTTAGTTAGCCTGAGAGGGAATTTGGCTGTTCTTATAGGTTAGTTACTACGTTGTGTTAAATCATTTAAAGCTACATATTATCACCTAGCTACAAATTAGAGACATATTTTATTTCTCCTCCGTTCCGGTTCAATCTGGTTGGAAATTATCGATCCGGCGAAATCTTAGTCCCGAAACTTAATCCCGTCAGGTCTAAGGGTCACCCCCACCCCCCACTTGCGGGGAATATTTTAAGACAGTATTTAAGTCTCTGCTTTTTCAAGGACGATTCATCTATATTCGGTTTTGAGCGGCATTTTGTCGGGCTGATATCAGTTAAAAGTTAATCACTCAATCAGTTTAAAGTTAAACTGGAGGAGCCCGCGATGATACATGATCGAATATGTTAACTTACCTATTTTCTTGACGAGCAGGTCTAGAACTTTCCATGTTAAGCTGTGAGATTGAGCTAGTTTAAGGAGAGTGTCCAGTAAGGACACTGTGTTCTCCTCCAGCTCCACCGTCCAACCACTCTCGCCTGAAGTTATTCTTGGTTAGGATCCGTTTGTACAATAATTATTCACTTTGTTTCCCATATATTTAGTTAACCTGTTTCAATTAACATTTATCCATATTTTGTCCAAGTCCTAAATATTTCACTAAGTCTGAGCCTCACACTTATAGTGTTTTTTCTGTCTCGCGGTTTTCTAACATGGCAGCACAATGTTCGGCAGCACAAACCTTTGACCCTGTTTAGAAGCATGTTGAGGGACTTGTCGTGTAGGAGGGAGGTGTCGGTGGAGAGGAGAGCTCTCACAACGGAGATGAAGAGAGACGAAGGTAGTCCAGCTGTGACACTTGTTGTCACTCCTGCAAGATCACAAAACTTTAATTAATCTGGTTATAAAACATAACTTTCTATGATAACACAAAATTAAATTATCCATTCCCAGCACCCAGGGCATGAGAGACCACTTCTTAAATACTGGAAACAATTAGAGTAAAATAACGGCAACTTTTTGAAATCGGGTCCTTTAAATGAGTTTAGGGAATATAGTTTTCATCAAGTCATCATTTTTCTATTTCCAGGTTCATTTAGGATGCATTCTGAAAGTACTATGAACCCCATGATCTAATATCTTTTAATCAATTTAACCAACATTGTTTTTTCGGCTGACTGCCTCAAGGAAAATTCAAGATTTACAACAGTTCATCTCATTAGTTCGCCTTGAGTTGCTCAGTTGGTGCAAATTACAGGATAGAAATGATGAGTACACCGGGCCGGGGTAGCACATATTTGTCAGATTATTGCGAATGATTTGGGCGACATAATACCTAACGCACAGCATGACGCTATCTGACAAGAAATTACAGTCTTCCAAAATTGGTTCGTACATGTTAAATCCTGCTAGGACGTCATTTAGGGTTTAATCGATCGGCTGTTGTCGCAATAACTGGGCGGAAGATTAAGTCCTCATGATCTGGCGATAACATCATTGCTTCGAAATTATGTGCAATTCTGGCTGTAGGGGCAGCGACGGTATCATTAAGTTTGTTTATATAAAAGTATAAACAGTAACCAGTTGCAGTATATCTGTTCTGAGTTCTCAGTCTACATAATTTCATTTTAATTTCATATGACCGGAACCTTGTGCTCCCTATTTTCGTATTTTAGTTCGGTACCGTTTAATTTTGTCCATATTTAGATATTGTCAGTGGAGTAAGTCTGAGCTAATGTATCATGGCACAGTGGGTGCTCCATGGAATGGGGGTATTTTGTCTATTTATTAAACTAATCACAGATCATTGCTTTCGACAAATAGTAAATCAAAACTCAGCTCACTAGTAATAGGGAGTAGTTACGTTTTACTGTTCACATTTGGGGTTCGCTAACCTTTGATTATGTTTTTGGTTAATGCTTCAGTGCCGTTTTCTGCTGATAGTGCATTATTTTTTTTCAGTAGTCTTATGCCTAGATCTTCTCCATAAAGTCTAAACCATTTCAGCCATTGGTCAAATCATTACATAATATACCCATAATATAATATGAGTTTTACGAGCATTGCTGTAGAGCTTCGCGAGTGATGTATCGGATTATACGCCATTGGTGTCAAGAAACAACGAAACTTTTCTTACCAGTTAACCGTTTGTTGAGCATATCAACAAACTTGTCCCCATGAGAATCTTGGTAATGTATCATGATGGAAAGAGACAGTTCTATCAGTTCCGCTAGCTTCTGTTCGTCACCCTTATCTTTCTCGAAATCAGATAACAATCCTGAAGAGATTATGTAGATTATAGTTTTCTCTACAATATTTTGATATCTGCCATCAAGGTACTCACAAAATTTTCTTTTGGAGCAATCATCAGAGAAAATAAAAATTGTCTTTCTTAAAAAATGCAAAAAGTTTTAGTTATCAGTCGGTTAAATTAGAGATGGGAAGAGTTTTCAACTAAAAGATTTGATTGGCACGGATTACAGAATCCATTCGAATTTTCTGATTTTGTAATATCTAATATCTTTATTTTTTGGAATTCCCGAATTTAAGATGGCTGCATGTAATATAATGTCAGTTTGCGGGGAAATAAACTTAAAACTATGCCTCATTCTATCCACGACGATGAGAAACATTATTATTTATTTTTATTACAGCTTTGTAAGACTGCGATGACGTAAGAAACAGATAAAGGCAAATGAAAAAGATCTAATTTAGCTAAAAGAATTTAAAATCGACCTGATTAATACATTTAAGTGATTTATGACAAATTATGTAGTTTCAAGCTTAAAAGTAAAAGTGGCGTATAAAATCCAGATTGTATACGCATTAAATCAGAATCAAAATCAACTGTTCGCATGTTTTAAAATACATTCAGTCCATAAAATACGTTGGTCAAACGCTCTATAATCTATATTACAGTCGCTAGGTACGTCTTCCTAATCAGAGTCAGACTCAACCTTTGCCACAGCATCGTATTGCTGACCATCTTTGCTCCTTTTCACTGCTCCACGGCGAAGCTTTTTTGGAAGGCCGAGGGCAGCAGCCCAATAACCAAGATACTGGGTTCTCAGAGATTTTTTTCTACAAATCAAAATGATTGGAAATAGAGCTGCGTTTAACAGGGGTAGAGTGTGTTTCATCAAGAATTCAATACTCAATGTGTTTTTCCTTTGAAGGGTGTACTCTGTCAGGAAGAATATGCCGTAAGCACTGTTGCATATGAAGTACACAGCGGATACTAAGAACACCGTCAGATTAACTTCATTGGCAATTTCCTTGCTCGTGGACCCCAGAGTTTTCCTAATAGCAGCCATTTGTATCACCATGCAGACTAAAACTATGATACTCGGAAAAACATATTCAGCCACAGCCAGCGTTTTCGATATGAAGAGAGAATTAACTGGGTCAAATTCGGATGCTATTCCAGTACCAACGAAATCGTAGTGTTCCAAAATTTCCCATTGCTCCTTACAGCCGAAGGAAGTGAAATTGTTGTTTCCTGCGAAAAATATTGCATCTGTAACGCTTAGACAAGCCCAAAATATTCCGCCGACTACAACAGCTACGGCAATCGTCCATTGTTCCAGCTGATAAAATGGTGCTGACAAATTTACTGACTTGACAACCACAAGCACTACATTGGCAAATATTGAAAGGTTGTAACCCCAGAAGCCTATAGTGACGTAAGACATTGTAAACCAAGCTGGAAACGAAGCATCATGACGCTGCGTGCAGACTAATGCGGTCGAGCTCCTGTATATGTCTGCAGTGGCAAATAATATGTCTGCAGCCGCTATGATCATGAACAAAAAGGTGGCAGGCAGTTTTCTGTCTCTAAAGTAGTCTCTTTGGATTGTAGAGTTAAGGAAGAGGACAATGACAGCCAAGACTAGATTGAATGGTGCAATGTACATGAATAGACTCTCCATCATTTTTTCAGGCTCATCAGGAGTCAAGATCTCAGTTCCATTACTCTCCGTCGAGTTCATCACCAGTATTTAAAATGTCAATTAAATGGTTCGACGTAAATGTGTGACATATGATTTGGAAATATGTCTAGTTAAAGGACTCAAGATTTGTTCAATTGGTCTACTGTACGTAACAGGTGTTTTTTAGCTAAGTGCTCCTTCATAAACGTCGTTGATGAAAAACCATTTTTGTATTGTTATATTATAAGCTTTCTTTTTTACTAATCGGTGATACGTCGAGTGCTTTCACAAATCATTATTTATTAATAAATGGTTAACCGTATGCTGAATTAATTTTTTTTGTGCGACTTAAGAGTTAGGACATGTCCCAAAATGTTTTTATCGGGAGCTTTATGAATATCATTACCGGTGAAGTGCTTGTTGGTGGTGAGCAAGTAAAGTTGCGTTGCCAGACCAAGTTTGAAGTAATGATAATGCTTCGTATCGTTGAAGCTAAGATCAACTCCACTGTCCAAGCGAACTTTGTGTGTCTTACCAGTCTGAAAATCAAGATAAATCAGAATCCCGATATCCGATACGGTTAAGCAATAAGCATACCCAATAGACGTAAAATGTTGATTTACCTTTCTTTTAAATTAGAAATTACTCAATTCTCAAAACGTTTTTATTTTATGCAGCAAACCATTTTCGTCAGTTTATCCGGCAATGCTGCTAGTGTTTTAATGAGTCCAACAGAGGTTCCTAAAAGATCAGATAGGCCGAAATGGATAGTGAGGTTCTGAAGGAAGTAGGAAAACTGGGATGCTAGCTCTCGGTCCCTGAAAAAGATTCAGTAAGATTCTGAAGGGATTTTAGAAAACTGTGATGGTAGCTCTGTCCTTGAACTATTTTCAGAACACTAGCCAGTTAGTATGATGTTGTTAACTAACATACATTGAACTCATTATGAGATTATGAGTTTCTTTTGATATTATAAACAGGAGCTGCACATATAAAACACATGCTCATGATCCGACGGATCATTACTGACCTGCTGCATAGTTCCAACACGAAAACAAACACGTGATACAGATATTGAGGACCAGATGTTTCCAGCAGAAGAGTAAAAATAGGATCTGCCCGGTGGGAGGGAATGTGGGGTAGCGTGTCACAGAACACCCTCAAAATGCTCATCATGTCCTTTTTCTGTTTGATAACCGGAACTATAGTGCCGATAGCTTCAATCAGAACCTGACAGGGTTGATGTATCAGTGATTGATAAATAAATAATATGAATAGTGTATCGTTGTACTCAGTACTTTTAAAGTACTGTAACGATGGACCGAACACGATGATAAAAAGAGAGTTCGCAGTTCTCTGGTTTAATCACAGCGACTGCTTAAAAGCTATAAACTATGATATATTATTATTACAATTGTGTTACAAGGCGTAACTAATTGTCAATTATCCCAGTTGATGAACTATATATTTTAAAGTAGGCATCGTTTAAAATGTCATTTCACTGAGAAGATAATATAATTAAAACCTTCATTACACACCACAGCAACAATCAAAACTAACTTATCAAAGACAGGCCGCCAGTCTCCTACCTGTATAGAATAGTTGTCATCCATTCGCATCGTGCTGTCACCCATAAATGTAAAGATAGCGATCACATGATCCAGGACCAGGACAGGAAAGTGAGCAGCGAGTTTGGACAGCAGAACGATACAGCCGTGGTGGAGTGCGTGTCGGTGTGTTTCTTTGTTAGTTTCCCGGATCACGTCCACGATAGCCCGGAGCGCGGTGGGTGTGAGGGGTGTTTCATTTCCCAGTTTAGTGCACACGGTTGTTAACAGGGTCACTATATCCTCCTCGCTGCCCTTTTGAGTTGGCAGTATTTCGAACAGGGTGGTAGCTAACTCGTCATTCGCTGCTCCCTGAGGGTAGAGTAGGTTTGTCATTGTGTTTTTGACAAGTTAACAAATTGTTATGTTACAAACTCATTTAATGGACGTCAGCTGCGGAGGAAATGGAGCTAAAACAGTCTCCCCGAAAAAAAGTTTTTAACAAGTTGTTCCTAGATGGCCCTTTCATTAGCATCTGGTGCAGTCTGGACTATGAATAGTGCTCTTCTTCAGGTCTCCCTTTCATTCATATTCTGACTAGCTGAAAGGCTTTTAAGCGTCATCAGACAGTTTGAAAATTATAATTTTCGAGGAGTAAACTTTTATTTGGACTAACGGCGCTTATTTAGACTAAGCACGTACAGATGTTTTGTCAGTTGTTAGAGCTCAGAGTCACCAAATAAATTACAAAAAATGAGTAGGGGCATAATTAAAAGCTTTGATTTAATTAGAGTTGTTTTATATCTTTGCACGGTTAATTGCAAGCTATATGTTGCGCTGTTGAGTTTATAGTTCACGATCAAGCTTTAAGCTATCTTTTACGGTTAATAATAGAATCTTTTTTGGCAAGTTCATCATTAGCAGGCAGCAGGCAGAGCCTTTGCGGGCGTGAAGCGACTAAGGATTGTTTAGTCAATAGACGATAATGGGTTGTGATGGATCACTCTCGTTTTTTGCCTTAGCCACGTAAGATCCTTTGTGATCGCTAAACGTCTGGACTAAACTTTAATAGAAAATTAAGGTTGGTATAGAAACTATTATGACGTTGCAGGCCGTCAAATTTTAACAGTCACCACTCGACCTAAACACCCTGACAAGAGCTTTAGTCCGGTGCCTGAAAATGCCCAATACCTAGGTTTACTTTGGCTCCGGCCAAGTTGCCACTAATTTGTAATAATCATTACTCTCCACCAGACATATACAAGCTATTTATTGGCATACTACCTGTCATTAAACGCAGCATCCAGCCGGGTGGTGTTATACTGGTTTCCTTATTCCTTACCGGTTCTTGCTGGCCCGCCTACTAGTGCCCAGTTGACAACCCTGCACCTGGTCACAGCCGGTATTTGACAGCCGCTCTACTGCATTTTTACATTGAACGATATGTTTTGTCACTGTGTTATGATGATGACATAATGGTGATTGCGGGCCCGGAAAAGTTTGGGTATATTTCGTAATCATCCGGAAGTAATCTTGATACTTTGAATATAATATAATGCATTTTGCAAGCATTTTCATTTTAGAATGTGCATTTTGTAGTGGTTGAATGTTTGTGGCCGGAAAGCGTTTAGATTTAGATGATGCTGTGACCAGATGTATTTTTGCTGACTATGTGGGATCAATTTAACAGTCGTTAGGGTCAATAATGGCAATGAGTGGCATAATTAATGCACAACTTAACATTTTCATTTTAGTGTATATTGAGCATTTTGTTTCTGTAGCCAGAAGGCGATTAGATGATACTGTGACCAGATGCTTCGTATTCTTGTTAACTAAGAGGTATCAATTTAACAGTCGTTAGGGTCAATAATGGCAATGAGTGGCATAATTAATGCACAACTTAACTTTGTGCATCTTCAGTTTGGAGTCACTCCGGCTGAAGATCCAGCCGCTGTTGAATAAATATTTTCCTGTATCTTAAATTCTTAACGTTTAATAATAATATATCCACCATTTGATATTGAACCGAAGTCTATGTTCCTAAAATGCCAGTACTTCTCCAGTCAAATTGCATTGTTATTCAAGAGGAGCTGACTAGTCTTTAGCTATAACTCTATAATTGGCAACTGGTGCTCCTCCCCCGCCCTGCTGGTGTACCAGTTCCCAGCACCATTGTGTCAAGCTTACAACTCAAAGTTGACAGAGGACAGGACAATGGACATGTTCTGCAGTGTATATTACACGTTGAATTAAGCGTAGCCATAAGATGGTGGTTTTTATCGTAGGGCAAAAGACTCAGAGTTGAAAAATACGTGAGATAATTTTTTAAATACGCCGTATTTAACGTTTTTTTGCTTAGAAATAAAATACGTCAAAAATACGTTAAAATACGTTTGCCTATTTTTTTCGTAATTGCATTCAAAAACTTAATAAGTTATGTCTTTCGTTCGCAATTTTTTCAGACACATCGTCATTACGATTCAATTTCATTTATTTTGTTCCCTTGAACGGGATTGGAATTTACTTTTGGAATTGAACGCAGAAAAATATTCATATTTGTGTAGAAAATCGTCCGTAAAAAAGTTTCAATAAATACACAATTAAGAACACAATTACTCAGATGAATCGTAATCATCATTGAAATCACATTTCTCCATGTTTTGGATAAGTCGAAGGTTGGCATTAATGCCTACTAGCTTTATGGCCTTATCCGTTGCTAGTCTATTTCTGCGTTTATCAACAATATATTCCCAAGAGGACCAGTTAGTTTCACAGGCAGAAGCACTACAGACGAGGCTCAGAATTTTAGCGCGCAATAATTCGTATTTGCACGCTTTGGTACGCTTTAGCACGTGCACAGTTCCCTTAAATCATACGCGAGGTGATCAACTACAGAGATACGCGAGTTTTAATCAAACTTTTAACTTGTATAATTAGAAATAGTACTTATTATTTCATTGGAGCTCTTAATGCTACAAAATCACTTGTAACGTATTTTAACGAATTTTATTCAGCGAAAATAAAATACGCCGTATTTAAAGTTTTTTTGATATTTTATAAAATACGTTAAATACCTATTTTTCAACTCTGGCAAAAGTCCTACTCTTGGTATGTTAAGTATAAGTATAACTTCCAGATTTGATAACTTGACTAATGACTGTGACGATTCTCTGTGATTTAGGTTGCAGATGGGTACAAAATGTAGTGATTCTTGATGGACATTGAGCTTCCATAGAAAGGCTGGGTATTTTTAATTTTATGTATTTATTTTCCTTTCGTGATTAAAATTATGCATAATTTTCTTAAGAACAGTACATCATTACATGTTCAGTAGTGAAGGTCCTTCGCTAAAGTAAAAGAAGGTCGGGCAATTACTAGTTCTAAAGTTCTAGTTGTTAATTTTCCTCTCGTCTTTACACAAGCCAATGATCATTTCTTACCGCGTGAACTCATAGTTATACCAGGAAGTATTCGATTAAATATCGTGTATCCTGGTTGGTGGTTGTCACAGCAACAACAACAATAACAACAACGCGCACGCCTACCTTTTTTGATTGAAAACAATACTGAGTTGCTAAAAATATGAACGGTATTCACTCTCCAGAGACTGATGATCTTCGTAGCATAAAATATGTAATTGGAATGAACATCCTTAACATACATACGATGATGTATTTAACGATTATGTTCTAGATTAAGTCATCGAATTATTTTCCTGAACTGCACTTCTTATTAGCGACCTTTTGTTATTTTAATGCAATACTGTATTAAGATATTTGAAACTTATTACTTATCTAAAAGTCACTAATTGCACTGCGCTTTTTCTTTTGTGACTTAAATCCAATATTGAATTTAGATAGATAAAACGTATTACTTATTACAATATTTCAATAAGGAGTGCATTATTATTAGTACTGTACTTCTTAGTGACCGGACGTGACCGTTTGTGATTTTAATGCAATATTTATTTACAATATAGTCGAAACTTATTACTTATTAAAATGTCGCCAATAGTATCACCGCTTACTAATCGACCGTTTCAAATCTTGAAACCGTGGACGATAAATAGTATCATGCACACAATGTTCCCTCAAATCAACCTCAACTGCGGAGTTCGTATATTTTGAAATTTTAGATGTTTGACTAGCAATGATAACACTTGGAGTAATATGACTTTTAATCTGACAATTATTCTACCCAGGAAAGGAAAATGGTAACGGATATAACTAATCCTGCCGTGACTAGTCCATTGGGCACTGGTAGTCCAGATCCACAAACAGAATGGATTCCACCAGTCACAGATTTTTCAGACACTAAACGGTATCTGGGTGACGGGTTCACTTACACGATGGCAACAGTTAACCTCTGTCTGGGAATTCAAGCTCTGCTTCTGAACATCTTCGTGATCAGTTTCTACTTCAAGAAGAGAAAAGACACTGTGCCCTTGATGTACCTGTTTGTGTCGAGTACTGACCTGCTGACAGCGATATCTGCTCTCCTTGTCTCTCTGGCCCTCTTTCTACAGAAACACTCCACTGAGGCCTCCATAGCTCTTGTTTTGCCGGCCTATGCCATATTCTCGGTCACTTTCAAGGTCTCAGTGTTTCTTAACCTGACCGTGGCTTCTGCCAGGACCATCAACATCATCCAACCATTCTACAGGATCAATAACAGGGCCTGGGTCATCGCTGTCGCGGTTTATATTCTGGGATGGATTATCTTTACAGTGGTCCAGATCTCCTTGGAAGAGGCACCTCAGCATAGAAGCGTCTATGAAGCATACCTCTACAGCCCAGGACAGTATCAAATAGCTGAAAGTGCCGGTCATCGGAAAAATGAATGTAGGAACGTGTCCCTGTTTATCGGTCTGCCCTATCTCTTTCCCTCTATCGTAGTGGTTGTCTGTATGGTGGTCCAGTCACACACACTACTGAAAATGCAGCCCGAGAAATCTACCAACACGGACGTACAGAGGGACATCACCATCACAATTTTTATGATGACAGTGCTATTCTTCGTATGTAACACGGTCTACGTGGTCTACCCTATTACTCACTGTAGTGAAATCTTCCAAGAGAAGGGTTTCGATACAGAAACGTTCTATGACAAAGAGAAAAAGAAGTACATGTGGAGGTTTCTGACGGGTGTTGTTGCTCCCTTCGTCAATGCTGCCTTTAATCCCCTCATCCTCATTGTCAGAGGAAAAGCCCTCAAGGCAGCCATCAGGAACAAGTCGAGAAGAATTACCGAATTCACTTCAGTTGGTATGGGCAGGCCATCGAGGACCTCCCAGGGAGGTGGGACTGTATTAATGAATATGAACTCTGTTGTAACCGACGCGAATGGGAGTGCTGTCGTCCCCAAGAGAGACT